GAATAAATTTGATAATTTGAGAAAAATGCATTTTATTTTTCATTAGCAATCTTCTACGCAATCCTGAATTTATTCGCATTGGAACATTTAGGACAGACCATTCATTGCTGTCCCCATTCAATAATGCATGTCGGATGTTTAACTATGCAGCGCTATTCATAGATCCATCGCTTCCACTTCATCAATTCAAACAGAAGTTACAAAACCTACCCGACTCAACTTTTGGTACTTGGGCCAGTCTCAAATCACCCGACAGATAATTTTGACGAGATAAGAAACCGACTTTATCCAAATTTTAAGCTACTAGTCAGTACATTGAGCAATTGAAGTTATATTATTTATTTATTTATTATTATTATTGATTTGTGTCATTTTAAATGTTATGTATTTTATTTTATTTGTTTGCAAGTCAAATCTATTTATTGCCTATGTTCTTAATATTTTACCTATTTTCATCTACTCACATTTTAAACCTAAGTCATTACGTGCAAAAACGAGAATAACTATACTATTCATAAACCTAAAACAAAATAAGACCCTATACAAAAACCTATGTATTACATCACTATGTTACCTATTATTCAGCCAGTATTTGGCGGTGTAAATAAATAATAATAATAATAATAATAATAATTAGCCCATCCACAGTTATCACGGAGGACGATAGTCCGACAATTGACGCTCCATAGACTGTGCATTTCAAGCCAAATACCAAAAATGCCAGTTTTTGCGTCACGAGTATTTATACAGTAAATATGCTATTTTTCCAGGACACTATTTGGGCGCCGGCATGTTAGGTACCGTTGGAAAGGTCTTGGCCCAAATAGTCGGAAACACCATATCCCCCATGCCTAAAGTGTGGTCTAGGCAAAAATATAGCGGTTGGAAAATTTCGATAAATTTTCAAATCTATACCCATATCTTACGAAGGGGGTGGTCTGAGTTGTCCAAGAGAAGCGCCTCCTCGCCACCTATCCAACGCCTGTCCAAGTGCCCCGATTGGTCCAAAAACGAAAAAGTTATGGGCATTGGCAGTTTGATCTTGATTTTTTATGAAAGTTTTGATTTGTGCGTCCGTCCGTTCGTTCGTGTGTCCGGAAACTTTTTAGACCCCCACAGATTCCGGTGTCGATATACCCAAGCTGTAGCTGGTGTCGGGCCACATCAAAACCCGTCCTCAGATTGAAATTTGCATTACAGGAGAGCTGGCTATGGCTTCACTAGCCTGCATGTATACGATTTTTTCAAGTATTTATTTCGCATACTAGATCAACTCAGACGCCCATCGGGTAAAGTCAGCTCGGTATCATTTGAGAAGACCTTCAAAAAGTTCCATACACACATGCCAATGTTTATGTGATATAAAAGAAAAAAGTCGATTTTTATGGAAAATCGACCCCCTTAAAATTCACACCAAACGCGATTTCTTAAAAATCAGCCCGACAATGTTTTACCAAAAACTGAGCGTTTGTAGCCGGCCACCATACCAACAAAATGGCGTATGCCATATATCCGTGAAAATTCGTATTTCGAAGTTCTGGCCATAGGCAATTCATCAATGAACGGAATTTGTACGAAGAGTCGCATTCTACGATGAAATTGCTGCCAAAAATACGCTCTACTGGCTGAAAAAAGCTCACGAAAGGCCATATCCGCTTAATTTTCGACGAACAATCGATTAAAAGTGGTTACAATGCGATCTGAGGGCATTTCATGGTCGAAAAATAGGTCGGATTGAAGTGAATTTTTCAACTTGCTCTATTTTCACTGAAAATGATGTTTTTGTTCGGAAAACACGTGAAATAGACCTCTGACGACAATTTGGTCTTAGAAAAATGCTATTTTTTCGTGAAAATAATGGGAGTCCGCGAACACTTGAATATCCATTTCGTTGTAATTTTGGTCATAAATCGGCATTTTGGCATCTGAATGTATGAAATTGAACTTTTGCTCGGGGGATACATAAAAAATGCACTTTCCAGAGCTTTGGTGGTTGGGAACTGATATATTTAATGAAATAATGAGAATCCACAATCGTTTCAACACTCTTTTTATGGTTATTTTGAAATTTAATCATATTTTACCGCATTTTATAATGTGCAATTAGAGGAAATTGGGACTTTTTTAATGGTAGTGGAAATTAGATAGTGCAATCTCCAGAACTTGTGAAATTAGAATGCCAATGTGTTAACCAGAAAATTGCAATTTCCTGATAATAAGACCTTAAAATAGACATACTTCTGGTAAAAATGAATTTTTCCAAAAAAAGCCTTGCAAAAGTTGTGATATCAGATGAAAAACCTCTAGACGAGGTTGAAATGGAGTGACGCTCCGTGCGTGGATTTACCACTCAAAATGACTGATATCATTTTGAGTGACGCTAGGAAGCTGTATTACTGGGAACGAAGTTCAAAAGTGTTTTTCGCATTCACTATTGTGAAAATTTATTTACAATAAGGAAAAATATCACGTCACGACTTTTGAATTTAGTCTTCAAGTCAAGCTTTAAAGCGTTTTGCCGTCCATTTCAACCTCGTCTAGAGGTTTTTCATCTGATATGATTATCTGAAATAATTGCGATGAAAAGTCATTTGAAGAGTGAATTGAATCTACTCCAAAAGCAAATTAACATCACAGTCAAATCAGAATGCAATAAATTTTGGGACAACAAATTGAAGAGTATCACCAAAGGCAGCAAAAAGTTATGGAATTTGTCGAAACAGTACAGCGGCAAATACGATTCCGCCATCAACAAAATTTGGGTCCCTAATAATTTGATAAAATAAATCGAGTGGGAGTGATAAAATATACCTGGGGTACATCTGGGGTGGCTGGAAATTTAATGGTTTTCAAGTCTAACGAAGCACAAACGTTTGGTACTTGCAGAATTTCATTTCCTATTCTGGTGTTCGAGTAATCGTGCTAACAAATTTTTGCAGCGTACAGCGTACAGCACACAGCGTACAGGGTACAGCACACAGCGTACAGGGTACGACACACCCACATTAACATAGCAAAATAACCACTGTATCGTGCTTTTTGGTGTCGAAAATGAATAGAAAAATGTTTTTATTGGGGTACCTTAGTTTTGGAGTGATTACAATACTTTTACTCACGACATGGGCGTGCGGAAAAGTAAAAAATCGACTTTTGGCCAATAAGTCCCCCAAATATGGACTTTTTACGGTTGGTGTTGTGTTAAAAAGTTATTTTTTCTCAAAAATAATGGGAGTCTTATCAGACGAAAATTCTTTAAATTGGTTTTTTGAGGTACCTCCTGAAGAAAAGTGACAATTTTTCTGTATTTTGGCCTCGAATTGTCATTTTCTATTTGGGAGTTACCTCAATATCCGCAAAATATTCGCGATATACGTATTTACTTATTTTCAATACCAATTTAGATATTTTGTGGATATTGCGTATATTTCATATAAATTGCATACAGTCACTCCAAAACGTTTTCGGCCACCTCTTTTTTTGCAATAAATTTGATTTTGTCAGAAAATTATGTAAATATGATTTTATATAGATCCTAGCCCCTAGCACTTGACGATTCGAAGTTAACTCAAGTTTAATTTGACTAAATTGATGGTTCATTTTTTTCGGCCGTCAACACCATCTCCTTTAGTGTACGTTTTCGTTCAAGGTGACGTGAACAGCCCAAGCGAAGTGTGAAATGGTAAATACACTCAATAACGCTCAGCACAGACGCTCCCAAGAAGAGACCAAGTAGCCCACCGCAATTGGCAAAGAAGTCAGTATAACCATACAGTTCGGATCGTTGTATAGCAACAAATCGATGCTCCTTGAAGAAGACTGATAACCGAGCGGGTTGCGCGCTGAAATAGAGAAAAAAACAATGTGTTAGTGTTTATGTGTCCCCTTCTGCAGTCAGTTCAGTTACTTTGCATCGTACTCAAAAAATAAATCTAGAAAAAAAGACCGACAGTTAATCTGGGCCACCCTGTACAATATACATTCTCACCTCCTCAACAAGCGATTAAATGATACCTTTTATGCCTCAAAAATGGAAAAATAAAAAAACCTCATAAGTTTTCCGAATATCGTCAAATTACAACCCCAAGATGTACATAACATTTGAAAGTAGTCATCTCTGAACATACCCAACTAAATCATCTGATGACGCATCATATTTTTGTGCTATGATTGAATCGGCCTTATCAAAATCCGTTTGAATAATTTCTGCATCGTAATTGATCAAAACGCAGGCTGATAAACAATTGCAGGCTTCGGAATCTCTATCATTTGAATCACCGGATAAGTGTCTTTCTAGAAATGCGTTCTCGGCTTTATTGCAACACTGTATTTTGTCAGAACCACAAACTCGAGTATCATTGTCTCCTTCAAACGGATGAAAAGTGCATTCATTAATTAGATTCAATCAGTAGAATGAGAAAGAGTCATTACTTGGCATTGAAAATTTGACGCAACCGCAATGTTTTCTGGTATAGTTGGCCAGACATTCCATTTCGCAATTGTGTTGCGTGTACATTTTGAAGTATTTCAATTGATGTTCGCCATTGAAATAACATTGGCGTTCAGTAGGGCTATAAGATCGTAGGGACTCTGCGGTGATAATCATTTGCGGTTTCACTGCTATCATGACATCGTGTAATATTGGAACGCGGAAGTAACGTAGCGATAGTTGTGGTACTTCCCCTGGATGGTGCAAAAATATCTTGGAGCCCTGAATTGGCCCACGACAGAGAAAATCCAGAGCGTTATCATTGAGATGAAGTAAAGTGAATAAACCTGCGTTGGATCCAGAGCCAAACACTCGATACGGATATGTTGTGTTGTAATCACTATCAACGTTTTCGTAACCGTCTTCTATATTCCAATGTTTGACCGACGGATTGTTCGTCATGGTCATCATATCAGGCACAACTCTAGAATTTGACCAATTTTCATCAATTCATTTGTAAATTTAAAGGAAAAAAATTGAAAATATTCACATACGCTTCAGTGTAAATCTGTCGCGAATCAAGAGCGTTGAATGTGTAGCAGAGACCATCTTCGACCAGATTCATTTGGAAAAGGGACTCACATTCTGTTTCATCATTATGCCAACGACAGTGAGACACATGAGTTTGACCAATGTCGAGAAACATCTTATTTGTGAAATTCTCACCAAATGATTCGATAAAGTTGTCATCGCATAGTTGATATATCGCCTTCATTCGTACGATTCTACGAAGCATAATCAACATTTCAAAATCATTTGGAGTGATGTTTCAATTTCAACGACAATGCCAACTAATTGTATTTTATAAAGCAACTATTCTACCACTGACATTAAATTTCGTTCTTACTGTTCTGTTGGCACTTGGTCTTTCTTTCCATCTGCGATCATATTATAGACTTTGGTGAAGTTGAGTTCGTTCGTATGAGATTTGGTTTCTGGGCAAATAGTTACAGCGGGAAATGGGATCGACGAAACTGACGTCGCTTTTTCCGAAAAAGTCACAATAACCGGGCTCGATTGCCATTTGATATAAACACCTTGAATAAAATTTACACACAGCACCAGAGATATACCAACAGAGATCGCCCAGAAAATTCTATTCAAAACAAACAAAAAAATATTCAATTGGCAAGAACTTTAAAGCTTTAATCTTGTTAATAATTTTGAAAAGAAAAACGTATACTCGAACGTCGAACCTTTCAGTCCGATGGCGTCCTTTTTCAGTAAAATACCGAACACCATGAACAGAACTATCCACAAGGAAATCCGAAATTTCTCCAAGAACGAAATGGAAACGAGACAAAACTGCGCGCTTTTCCGCTGTCGCAACCGCCATATTTCTTACATAAGTCTCGTGCTGTGACATACGAGACGAAAGAGAGCAGCCCAGGCGAAGTGTAAAATAATAGAAAATCTCGATGATGCTCAATAGAGAAGCTCCAAAAATGAGACCCAATATTCCTCCGCAATTGGCGAGGAAGTCAGTTCTACCGTAGAGTTCTGATCGTTGCAATGCCATAAATTGATGATTCTCGTAGAAAATTGTCAAACGGGACGGTTGACTGAAATGTTGGGAAAAAATAACGACAGTTATTAGAACTATTTCAAGTGTATAAATCCCCCATTGGGATGGATCACACATACAATGACTCGATGGACATTCCATTTTGCGTTAAATTTGTCTTGCTGAATTCATTTTGTGAAATTTCCACGTTATAATCGATTGAATTACATGCAGGTAAACAATTGCAGCCGGTCAAAGTAGTTTGTTCTTTAGCCAAGTCATCATTGAAATCTTTTTCAAAGAATTTCTCTTCAGCGTCCATCAAGCATCCGATGATATCTTCACCAATTCCACAGATTGAAGTATTTTTATCTCCTTTGGAAATGTGAAAATTGTTAATAAGTATTCTTTTATAATGATTAACTATATTTTCCACTTGTAAACAAGTGGTGTCTAATCCATCGTCGGGTTTTGGGCTTACTTGGCATTGAGAATTTAACGCAACCGCATTCGCTTTTTGTGAAATTCGTGTGACACTCTAGTTCACAATTGCGCTGAGTATATACTTTGAAAAATCGTAACTGCCGCTCTGACCCGAAAAAGCACTGACGCTGATGCGGTTTGTAACGCTGCAGATCGACTGAAGTTGTGATTATTTGTGGTTTGACGGATACTGAAATTTCTTGTTCGAGTGGCAAGTGAAAATAGTATGTTGAAACTTGAGGTACTTCTGCCGCAGAATGAAGGAGAATTCTGAAACCGTGCACGGATCCACGACACAAAACATCTAAATCACGGTCGTATAGCTTCAATTCCGTAGTTAATCCAGTTCTTGGGCCTGCACCATTGACTCGGTATGGATAGAACTGGTTTTTATTCTCGTTGATGTCATCATAACCTTCTTCGAGTCTTGCACTTGTCTTGTCTTCGAAAGTCATCAAGTTCGGTGCCATTCTGTTATTGGTAGAAAGTTCGAAAAATGAAGCAGGCTATTGACAATTCAATATGTGTATTGAAATTGAAAGAGTGGCATACTTCTTTGTGTAAATATCCCTTGAATTGAGAGCATTAAATGTATAGCAAAGTCCTTCGTCCGTCAAAACGGGCTGATAGAGTCTGTTGCAACTACAATTTCGATTACGCCATTTGCAGGTTGATACGGTACTATCGAGAGGTAGGGCGATGTCTTTTATTGTATCCAAAACGCTATCGTCCGTAAAATTCTGCCTCATGTTTTCGAAATACAACATATCACAAATTTGCAACGCAGCCATCATTCGCGTAAGCCTACATTAGAAAAATGGATAAAAACATCCAGTTATTATCAGATATACAGTCTGTCTAGTTATAGACGATAAGAGATATCTAAGTGAAAACACAAGAATTTTTCAAATTTCTCTTTCGAGATATTTTTATTGAGCCTTCAGCTCGGTCGCAAACAATCCAATAGTTAATCCATTCGCCTTGTTTTTCGATAACACGGGCACAGCGTGAAGGCATACTTTTGCTCAAATTTTCAGCATATTCTCGCGAAAGGCTGTCCCACTGGCGCTTCAAGAACAAAGTGAGATGTTTTGTGCTTCGAATATGTTTGCCTTTGAGTCTCTGCTTCATGATGGACCAAACGTTTTCAATCGGATTGCAGTCTGGAGATTGAGCCGGCCAATCCATCTGTTGAATCCCATTTTCCTCTTTCCAAGCAGTACATAAACGACTTTTGTGTTTTGGGTCGTTGTCTTCTTGTAGAATCCATTTCGACGTATCGTTGCCATAGAACTTCTTGGCGGTGGGGAGCAATGTCGATTTGTACAACTGGCGCATTCGATACTTCTCTAGGATACCAGTAAACACGGTTAATTTACCAAAACCGGCTTCACAGAAGGCTCCATACACATGCACCTTTTGCGGATGCTTAACCGTGCGAACCACCGTTCTTTTTTCGCGTGTGCACCAAGTATGGGTGAGGGAATTCGACAACCAAAACGATGATTCATCTGTGTATATAACTTTGCTCCAATCAGTGTCCAAATTTTCGGTTGCCCATTGTAGTCGTTTTTCGATATGTTCTGGTTTCAAAAGAGGTTTTTTCATTGTGGAGCGATACTTTAACGACATTTTACCTAATCTCTTTCGCAGTGTCTCTCTTGAAACGTTGATATTTGATCGACGTAGTCGTTGTACCCCCTGACGCAACGACAAACCTGGGTTTTGATCGAAAACCTTAGCAATATGCTGATCTTGCTTCGGCGTGGATGCTCGGTTGGGCTTAATGTTTGGCTGGTCGTTCACATTTTTTTCACGTTTATATTGATCTACCCAACGCTGGACGAATGGCACCGTCTTTTTAATGTATCGGGCGGTCGCTGTAAGCGATAATTTTGGCCCGCGTGGATGCAAATGCAGGAAAACTGCTTCAAAACGTTTAGTATAGTATTCCGAATTCATGTTTTCAATTAAAATAAGAGCACCAATGTGACTTTACATCTGTCAAATGCAGTTTGCGACCGAGGTTAGAGTCGCATCTGACCACACCAAAAAGCCTATTTAAATATATTCAAATTTGAACATCGTTTTCCCTTATCGTCTATAACTAGACAGACTGTATATGTCAAACTGCTATTATTCTATCAAAATATTGGGAGTCCCAGAAGATTAAAACAGCCATTTTCCATCACTTGAGTGTCAAAACTGTGTGTTATATATGTAAATTGTAAAACTTTCGAAATTCTTCCAAATGGTCCTACTTTGCATAAAAAATCGGTAAAAATTCAAAGACAAACCACCTCATAAATATTATTGAGAACTCTATATCTACCCGGTTTTCGACAAGAAATCGATTTTCAGTATCAGCCAGCGTTTGGTTCTGTCCCAGAAAAAATATCTAGATAAAAACGAGATAATCTCAAAAATGTCCAAATCTATCTAGATATCTTTTTTGAATTTATCTTTTTTCCGAAAAAGATAGATATCTTTGAGCTATCTTAAGATAATCTTTTTAGAAATATATCATTCTTTATTCATATGTTAATTTGATGAATTTTTTTCAATTTTTTTTTGTTCTGTGAAAAATGCACGAAAATTGGCCAAAAATATCCCAATCAACAAAAAATTTCAGTTGGAAGATTTACGTGATTTACCTTGATTTTGAAGTGTATTTTTTTCTATAAATGGGATGTGTATATTTTTTCAACAAGTAGGACAAATCTGTAGTGTGAATCATCATTTGGTATCAATCGAATCTCTGATACAATTACTTGATGAATATCTTAATTTTTATCTAAAAGACGACAGATAGATAGTCGAAAAAAAAACTGAAAAGATAATAGATAAGATTTTCGACATTTTTGAAAAATTATCTAGATAAGATAATAGATACTATCTATCTTATCTTATCTTAATATCTTATATAAGATATTGGTGGTCGAAAAATCTGATACATTGAGATCATGTTTTTAACTCGCGATATTTTACACTCGAAATGGAAACTTCATTTTGAAGGTACGAGAAATGAATACAATTCAGAGGTTTCATCATACAAACTCTAGTTTTTATCTACGAAAACAATAGTGGTCCTGGAATAACAGAACACCTACTTTCTTGGGACTTTTGTATCAAATTTTTACTTTTGTTCTAAATTCTTTGAAAAACCGCATTTCAGTATAAGAAATAATGGAAAAAGACCTATTTTGTGGAGTTCTATACATCGGCCATTCCACACGAAATCAGGGAAGAGTTGCAATGTGAGGTCGCCGAATTGGCTGAAAATTGGCTTGAAGTCTTGTTTCCGATAGAAAAAGAGAAAACCAAAATCTCAGGCCTAAAAGTGGCCTTTCTGAGTTAACCCAGTGTGAATTTTTGGAAAAATTGAAAAAATCGAAAAAAAGGGTTTGCGCCAACTAAAATCTAACTGTGAAGTAGTTGACACATTGCCAATATAAAGTATAAAATGTTAAATATCTCAAAATAGTGGGGTTTTTTTGACATGTTTTTTTGCGTCAAAAGATAGCCCATGTTACGCCGCTTCAGATGGGAAAATAAAATTTCGTGTAACACCATGGTTAACCCGGGAGGTCCCAACGTTACTATATGGTAACGCAAAAGGTTGGTCGACTTTTTGATGGCTAGCTCGTCACGAACGCAACCAAATATGACAAGTTAAGGATTTTTAGGTTGGCAAAAAATGCCGCTTTCCATTGTTATAAGCAAACGTCAGTATGTGTTCGAGTGTGAGCCAGAGAAAAATTTTTTTTTTTTGGAAAGTGGAAAAAAATCGATTTTCGCAGACATGTCGAAGTAAGTCGTGATATATTTTCAATATTTATTATCAGAATTCGATAAACTTCACCGTGCAACACATGTTTCTGCACATGAGAAATTCCGATTGCTTGTTTTAGAGGACCAAAAACCAAGCACCTTTGCATCATTAGTTTGTTCGAAACCACGTCTAGATTTTTTTTTATCGACAATATAAGACAAATTTCAGGTCAAAATGAGCAAATCACAAACATAAGCATCGATTTGACAGGTAAAGGCAAATGATTTCTACCTTTTCTGCCTTTGAACAACTAGTATGATCCTTTACAAACATTTTGGGTACTTACATGACCAAATCGAGTGATGTTTTCACATATTTCTGACCGCATATTTGGTTGGTTCGAATTCAACTCTGAAAGAATCGACTTTTGGCCAAAAATCCTTAAATATAGGCTTTTTAGGGATAGTATCTTAGCGCAAAGTTATTTTTTCTCGAAAATATGGGGAGTCTACCCAGACCAAATCTCTCAAAATTGACTTTTCGAGGTACCTCCCGAACAAAAGTTACGTTTTTAATGCATTTTGCTATGAAAATATCATTTTTTGTTCGGGAGGTACCCCAAAAATCATTTATAAGAGATTCTGTGTGGGAAGATTCCCAATATTTCTCGAAAAAATTAATTTTTTACTAAGAAACTCATCCAAATAGTGTATTTTCGAGGTACCTCCCGAACAAAAGTTACGTTTTTCATGCATTTTGCTATGAAAATAACATTTTTTGTTCGGGAGGTACCCCAAAAATACACTATTTGGATGAGTTTCTTAGTAAAAAATTAATTTTTTCGAGAAATATTGGGAATCTTCCCACACAGAATCTCTTATAAATGATTTTTGGGGTACCTCCCGAACAAAAAATGATATTTTCATAGCAAAATGCATTAAAAACGTAACTTTTGTTCGGGAGGTACCTCGAAAAGTCAATTTTGAGAGTTTTTGTCTGGGTAGACTTCCCATATTTTCGAGAAAAAATAACTTTGCGCCAAGAGACCATCCCTGAAAAGCCTATACTTAAGGATTTTTGGCCAAAAGTCGATTCTTTCAGAGTCGAATTCGAACCAACCAAATATGCGGCCAGAAATATGTGAAAACATCACTCGATTTGGTCATGTAAGTATCCAAAATGTTTGTAAAGGATCATACTAGATGTTGAAAGGCAGAAAATTTAGAAATTATTTGCTTTTACCTGTCAAACCGAAGCTCATGTTTGTGATTTGCTCATTTTGGCCTGAAATTTGTCTTATATGTGTCGATAAAAAAAAGTCTAGACGTGGTTTCGAACAAACTAATGATGCAAAAGTGCTTGGTTTTTGGTCCTCTAAAACAAGCAATCGGAATTTCTCATGTGCAGAAGAAAAAGTTGAAATTTGTTACACGGTGTTGATATCAAACGATAGCTAGAGACATAAATTTTAAGAATCAAACAAGTTTTATGTACATCGAAAATATTTTCGTGTCGTTAGAATCCTTCAAAATGATGCGTTACCATATGGTAACGTTGGGACCTCTAGGGTCCGTGTTGAGGTGAACAAAAAAAAATTTTTTCCACGCATTTTCTCATGCATACACTTGTATGTTCTTGTGTTTTTTTTTTTACATTTCAAACAGAAAATTATCATTGAAAGATGCCGTCAATTATTTGAAACAGCTAATTGACGAAGAAGAAGGAGATAATTTCATGCGAGATATTGATGGAATTTACATTGAACCACCCGGAGATGACGGTAATGTGAGTGGTGAAGACGAGGCAAATGAGAATGAAGGAGGTACAGTCGACGCATTGTCTCGCAATCAGTTGAAATCTATCGTATGACGAAAGCATGATCGCTTATTATGGTAAACATGGCTGCAAGCAATTCATCAAAGGCAAGCCCATTCGTTTCGGCTATAAAGTTTGGTCTCAGTGCACACCGTCTGGTTATTTGGTAAATTTCGAAATTTACCAAGGCTCGAACCCGCGATCAAACCCGAAGTACGAAAAGAGATTTGGCAAAATATCGGCGCCACTTTTGTCCATGATTGACGACTTCCCCGATGAATTGAAAGGATTGCCGTTTGGATTCTTCTTCGATAATTTTTTCACTGGTTTTCCATTGCTTGCATATCTGAAAGCCAATGGCTACAATGGCACAGGAACAATGCGAGAAAATCGGATCGTTGCAAGTTGTCCAGTCACGAGTAAAAAGGTGTTCAAAAAGAAACCACGTGGCACCATTGAGGCCGTCAAAATGCAGCAAACCGGCATTAGAGTGACACAATGGGTCGACAATTCCGTTGTTGCTGTCGCTTCGACATGTTTTGGATCTGTGCCAACATCAAACGCGGCACGTTATTCCAAACAAGCTGGAGGCCGAGTAAATGTTGTTCGACCATGCTCCGTAACGGAATACAACTAATACATGGCTGGTGTTGATCGCTTGGATCAAAATGTGAACAACCATCGCATTGGCTATCGTGGGAAAAAGTGGTGGGCTTCAATATTCCCTTGGCTCATCGATGTAGCTGTGAATAACGCTTGGCAATTGCAACGCGGCACAAAAGTTCTCTCTCAGCTCGATTTCAAACGTGAAATTTCAACATACTATTGCAAACATTATGGTTCGCCTCCGATTCAAACTGGTCCGCGAAAACAGCGACGTGAGGAAGACATCACTCGGAGCCTTCGGTTCGATGGGAAAAATCACTTTGTCGCTCCAAGCCCGACAAGACGGCGTTGCGTTGGCGACACATGCAAATCTGTTGGTCGCACAATTTGCATGAAATGCAATGTTGGTCTGTGTGTGTCATGTTTCGCAGGATACCTTACTCGTAGCGGCACACCATCTACCAGCAATCGGTCTCGTAGTGCCACACCACAAGCTGAATAACTTTTTTCTTTCATTTTTTTTCGTATATTTCATTTCAATACTATTCAAAATTATTTCTTTGTATTTCAAAATAAATAAAAACGCGTTTTCATGCTTTTCCGTTCATATACTTCATGATTTTCCGTTGAAAAAAAAAATGTTTTTGTTCACCTTGACACGGACCCTAGAGGTCCCAGCGTTACCATATGGTAACAGCCGGAAAATCGCCATAAAAAGTTTTTCCGGCCCGGAAAATTCAAACCACCTATTTTTTCGGAATCTACGCCCCAAAATCTACAATCCCTGAAATTTTCATCGAAAAATTCGAAAAAAAAAGTTCTGGGACTTTCCGGGTTAAATCCGTGTAATTGGCCTCGGCAGGTGAATCATATGTCATTTTTCAGCGTTTTTGTGGGAAAAATGGTCGAAAATGGCCTCTTACGACATTTTGATATGAAAAAACTGCTATTTTTTCGTCAAAATACATGAAAAAACGATCTTTTTCACATCGGTTTTCCTATAAATTTGGTCCGAAACTGACTTTTCTTCATAGAACAAACGAATGGTCGAAATCTGCTTACAAAATCACATTTGTGGCATAGAAAACCCACCTATAATGGGCTGTCATGATTCTATTTCCACGTAATTTTTGACGGAAAATCGATTGAGACCCATCTCAATCCTATCTGATGGGTCTAAAAGGTCGAAAAATGACCCTGCTTCAGAGGATGTTTTCAACTCGCAATAAAAACACTTTTTTTGCTTCAAAAATTCCCTATTCTGCATTCAATCGTGAATGGCTTTTATTTTCTAGCGAAACAAATGAAAATACACCAATTTGCTTACCATTTTTGGCTCAATTCAGCGTTTTATATGTAAAATCTCCATTTTGAGTGATTTTTTCGATGACAAAGTCGATTTGAGACCAAAATACAACAAAATGGGTGTTTTATTGTTCACAGGCCCCCATTATTTTCGAAAATAAATAGGAGTTTTCTAACGTAAAATTATTGAATTACGCAAATTTAAGATACCTCCCATACAAAATGACCGTTTTTCAGAACAATTTCTACATAAAACGCTGAATTGAGCCCAAATTGGAATATTTTCATTTGTTTCGCTAGAAAATAAAAGCCATTCACGATTGAATGCAGAATGGGGAATTTTCGAAGCAAAAAAAGTGTTTTTATTGCGAGTTGAAAACATCCTCTGAAGCAGGGTCATTTTTCGACCTTTTAGACCCATCAGATAGGATTGAGATGGGTCTCAATCGATTTTCCGTCAAAAATTACGTGGAAATAGAATCATGACAGCCCATTATAGGTGGGTTTTTTATGCCACAAATGTGATTTTGTAAGCAGATTTCGACCATTCGTTTGTTCTATGAAAAAAAGTCAGTTTCGGACCAAATTTATAGGTAAACCGATGTGAAAAAGGTCGTTTTTTCATGTATTTTGACGAAAAAATAGCAGTTTTTCCATATCAAAATGTCGTAAGAGGCCATTTTCGACCATTTTTCCCACAAAAACGCTGAAAAATGACATATGATTCACCTGCCGAGGCCAATTACACGGATTTAACCATGGTGTTACACGAAATTTTATTTTCCCATCTGAAGCGGCGTAACATGGGCTATCTTTTGACGCAAAAAAAATATGCCAAAAAACCCCACTATTTTGAGATATTTAACATTTTATACTTTGAACCCATTTTTGGAGGTTCCAATGGGGCCATAGAGGATAGATTACAGGCGGATTTTGTAGCCCCATCGATTCCCTTTCCAACGGTACCATAGGTTTGGCAATGTGTCAACTACTTCACAGTTAGATTTTAGTTGGCGCAAACCCTTTATTTCGATTTTTTCAATTTTTCCAAAAATTCACACTGACTGAGTTAACCAGAAAGGCGGGCCACTTTTAGGCCTGAGATTTTGGTTTTCTCTTTTTCTATCGGAAACAAGACTCCAAGCCAATTTTCAGCCAATTCGGCGACCTCACATTGCAACTCTTCCCTGATTTCGTGTGGAATGGCCGACATAGGAAACAGTTATTTTTTCATGAAAATAATGGGGTTTGATAACATTAGAATACTCAATTTCCTTTAATGAGCATTTTTATATGGAAAATTTGAACTCAAAAAATCGCACTATACATACAAAGTAGTTTATGAAGCATAGACAAACCCTCAAGCCCTATAAAATACACAACCATGTTCACCTATCTTCTGACGAAGAATCAATTCCCACCTTGAATCAACCCTACCTGGTATCACTAAGTTGTTAAAAGTATGATAGTCTAGAATGGAAATTTCAATTTGTAAATTAAGAGCTCTATGGTCAACACTGGACTATATCAGCTGATATAAAAATGGTTTCGAAGATATTAACAGAAGTCGGATCACATAATTTGTACGACATGTGCGGAAAAGCTCATCTTACGTAGGTTAGACTTTTTATTCTGATTATGTTATCAGCATGTACCTTTCTTTTGAAATAGTTTCGTTGTGTGTGAGCATGTAGTAAGTGTTCTTGAAGTCTAATTTTTCAAATTGAATTTTGATTTCTGGACAAATTGTCACTGTCGGGAACGAAATTTTCGATATTGGAGTCATCTTATCGGCAAATGTGACAATTACTGGATTCTCGTCCCATTTCATCCACACTTTTTGTATCATATTTGCGCAAAAGTATATCAACAATGCGAACGAAATCATCCACCAAATTCTGTTTGAGGTAAAAACCAATATGTCAAATTGATACTTCTATAATTTTACTAGATGAAAGTACTCTACACACCTTTCGGCCCAATGACGACTTGGCTCCGAAAAATACCGCATACCATGGATGGTGCTGTTTGACAAAAACTCTCTGAACACACACTTAATCTTCTGGTGAAAACCAGTTGCTGATGTTATATTGGATGCGTTGCTCCGTTTTAAATCGTTGCTTGTGGTATTTGAAGGCTCTTCTGCTGGTTTGATAATTGTGATTTTGGGAATATTCTTCAAAATGGATACAACTTTTTTTCTCATGTGCATTTTGCGTATACACAGTGCATAGCCCAATCGAAGTGTCGAATAGTAAATAATCTCAATGATACTCATGAATGATATTCCCATGAACAAACTCAGTAAACCACCACAGTTGGCCAAAAATCCAATGGTACTATAGTATTCAGATTGTTTCAATGCAATAAATTGTCGCTGCTTGAAGAATATGAATAGACGACTGTCTTTTACAACCCTGAAAACAACATAGCACATCGTGAAAAAAACCGGTCGTTTTAAATTATTTCTTGAACATACTTTTCGGATAAGTTAAACAAAGTTTTAGGTTGTTGTGTTAGTGCTTCAAATTCATCGTCCCAATTGTATTTCGACTGGGTGGTCTCCGCATCATATGTTATCGATGTGCACGCCGGCAAACAGTCACACCCTCCACTGACATCAGCAATATCTCTGGTGCCTTCAGCAAAATGTTTCTTCATCAATTTACCCTCGGCTGCATTGTAGCACATGATCTTCGATGTGCCGCATATAGGTGTATCAATGTCCCCTTTAAAAGTAATTCATAGGTCAACGATAGACAAAAGAAGTCAAAGTCGAAATTCATCTCGCCCTCTTCTTTCAGATCTCCTTTGACTCCTTTTCCTATCATTACACAGTGGAACACATAATTGCGGGACTCACTTTTAAGAATCAATAACATTACCTTTTAACACCCTTATTATTTAATCGACCATTCTTGAAAAAAAAACGCCAATTGAGTCATCAACAAAATAGTCACCCAACATGGCAAAAACGCGAAAATTGATGACCAATATGAGGCAAAGAACTTAGTAACAAGGAGATCACCTGTTCGGTGCAAGTCTTCAAAAAATCAAGATATCGAGAATCCCTTCACCCAAATCAAAGAAAATGTGATTTCCTACCGCTATAGCCACTAACATTACCTATATTAACCCTATGGTCGTGTTTGGGACACTGAATGCCCGTGACGAAGCTTGAAACTAAATAAAAGTACTAAGAAATGTAAAAATTAACCGAAGTTTGGTCTCTTTCGATGGACTCAACCTTTGGAGCTTCACAATGAGAATATTCACATATCATATATGAGTAGTTTGGAGCGAGTAGTTTGGAGTAGTTTGGATTCACATATCATATATAGTTCACTTTAGTTTACTATATAGCTATCCCTTTTCCGCTCATTTATCATCGACATTTCATCCGACACATGTTTTGCCGTCGTGCTTAGGGGCATACAGTTCTCTACGTGTATTTTGTATGAAAAATAGACTGTGATAAGGAGATAAGAGATACCCGTCTTCAGGAAAGTTGGGGAAGATCTCCAGTACTACAACTTTGTCCAAGACACCATCTCGCGCCATCTCCTTATCTCTTATCAGCTCCGCGTAATGTCTTATCAGTTACAGGTATGTCTTATCTCTTATCACAGTCTAATTTTCATACAAAA